TCATATGACAGGCTTAAGACAACAGAGAACTGTGCAAATGATATTGAATACACTACAGTAATTAAATAGACACACCTTTTCTCATCTGAGTCATTTCCATATAATTCAAGTGGAATTTCTCAACCAAACACTTAATTATATAGTTGGGCAAAGTTGTCACATTTTACCTTAAGTAATTATGCTATGATGATATTCAATCAATCAGTCAACAGAGTAGTTTATATTTTATTAAATAAGTTCCACTGAATAGATTCACATTCTAAATTATATGAATCACATTCATCACTATATCCATTGTCAGATTTTGGAAGTCTTCTAATAATATTTTAAGGCTACCTCATTCCCTTTTTTTATTTTTTAACATTTTTATTTAAAGTTTTGAGCTCTAAATTCTGTCCTTCCCTCCCTTTCCTCCCCCCTCCCTAGATGGTAAGCAATCACATATAAGTTATACATGTGCAATTATGTAAAACATTTCCATATTAGTCATTTTGTACAAGAAGACTCGAATAAAAGAAAAAAATGAAAGAAAGTGAAAAATAGCATACTTCAGTCTATATTCAAATAATATCAGTTCTTTCTCTGGAGGTGGATAGTACACTTCATCATTAGCCCTTTGGGATTGTCTTGGATCGTTGTATTGCTGAGAATAGCAAAATCATTCATAGTTCTTCATCGAATAATATTGCTATTACTGTGTACAACATGCTGCTGGTTCTTTTCACTTCATTATACATCAGTTCATGTAAGACTTTCTAGGTTTTTCTGAAATTATTCTTTCTCATTTCTTATAGCACAGTAATATTCCATTACAATCATATACCACAGCTTGTTTAGTCATTCTCCAATTGATGGGCTTCCCTTTGATTTCCAATTCTTAGCCACCACAAAAAGAGCTGCTATAAATATTTTGTACAAATAGATCCTTTCCCCTTTTTCTGGATGTCTGTGGAATATAGACCCAGCAGTGGTATTGCTGAATCAGAGTATGCATAGTTTTCTAGCCCTTTAGGCCTGGTTCCAAATTACTCTCCAGAAGGGTTGGATCAAGGGACAACTAGGTGGCGTAGTGGGTTGAGCTCTGACCTTGGAGTTAGGAGGACCTGAGTTCAAATTCAACCTCAGATACTTAACTAGTCACTTAATTCCAATTGCCTCACCAAAAAAAAAAAAGTTGTTTATAGAATGGCTGGATCAGTTCACAATGCCACCAACAATGTTCAGTTTTCCCACATCCCTTCCAACATCCAGCATTTTCCTTTTTCTTTTTTGTCATCTTAGCTAATCTGATAGGTGTGAGGTTGTACCTCAGAGTTGTTTTGATTTGCATTTCTCTAATCAATAGTGATTTAGAGCATTTTTTCATATGACTAGGTAGCTTTGATTTCATCATCCAAAAAATGCCTGCTTATATCCTTTGCCCATATTACTATGGGCAAGTCACTTCAATTTTACAAGCCTCAGCTTCCTCATCTGTAAAATGAGGAAGTCATTGGGGAATGACTTTAATTTTTATGAGTTTGACTAATTTCTCTATATATTTGAGAAATGAGGCCCTTATCAGAGATACTTGCTACAAATTTCCCGCTCAGTTTTCTGCTTTTCTTATAATTTTGGTTGCACTGATTTTGTGCAAAAAAATTCTTTTTTCATGATGCTCTTGCATTACTCTCTTCCCCGCCCCAATTTTCCTTCTCTAATTTGCTTTTTAAAATTTTTGAGCTTTTCCCGGAATTTTTTGGGGGTGGGGTAGGGGGGTAGGGGCAAGGCAATTAGGGTTAAGTGACTTGCCCAGAGTCACACAACTAGTAAGCATTATGTTTTTGAGACTGGATTTTAACTCAGGCCCTCCTGACTCCAGGACCAGTGCTCTATCCATTGAGCCACCTAGCTGCCCCTCTTCCAAGAATTCTTTTTGGCCCTGAGACCAAATTATATTTTTCTCTGAGGCTTCACCTGTAGCCATTTTGACTTGGCTGTAACTATGTTGTCCTCTTCGAAGTTTATGTCTTGATCCTACATATTACCATAGTGATTTTCAGGAGTTGAGCTGTTTGGGGGTTTTGGGGGGGAGGGGTTGTTGTTGTTTTGTTTTTGCTTTTGCTCATTTTTTTCCCCTGCCTTTTCTTGTGACTTGGTGTTTTTATGTGAGAGTTGGGCTCTGGTTCTGCACTATCTCAAGTTTTTTTATGCTGGGGCTGAGGGTCTTACTGCTGGCTTTCACTGGGGAGGTAGGGCCTCCCTGTTGGCCTCTCCTGGGTATAGGGTTTAGTTGCTGGCCTGCCCCAGGGGTGGGACCCTGCTGCTGGGTTGCTATTGAAATAGAGTCTCTCTGCTGGCAGACCCTAGGGGAGGTGTCTTGCTGATGGCCAACCCTAGTATGGGGCTTCACAACTGGTCAGCAATGGGGTCAAGACCTGGCTTCTGCTAGGGTGGGGTCACTGGGAAGGGATCTTGCTGCACTGCACAGACTGCTCGCTTGCTTAGGAGGCTGCTAGTTTGCAGGAGGGTGGGGCCTCGCTGATGGATTGGCGCAGGCTTGGAGCCATGCTGCAGGACCCCTGCCCTGTGAGGCTGGCTGCTGCTGCTGCTCTTGGACCTCATTTCCCTCCCACTCCAGTGAGACCCACCTTTCCTGCCAGGCTGGTAAGCTGCTTCCCTGCTCCTAGACCAATTCTGAGGTGGTTTGCAAGTTGTTTGGAGGGGAATTTGGAAGGCCTTCAGAGGATTCCTTCCTCACTCTGCCATCTTGGCACCGGAAGTCAGGTTATCTCATTCCTTTTATTTCTTTTCTCTTTTCCTTTTATTGGCTAGGCAATGGGGTTAAGTGACTAGCCCAAGGTCACACAGCTATTAAGTGTTATGTGTCTGAGGCTGGATTTGAACTCAGGTCCTCCTGACTCCAAGGCCGGTGCTCTAACCACTGTACCACCTAGCTGCCCCAGGTTACCTCATTCCCGGTCAGAAATTGTACAAATAGTTGTGTGAACAAATGTTACATATCACTGTGGGCAAGTCACTTCAATTTTCCAAGCCTCAGCTTCCTCATCTGTAGAATGAGGAAGTTGGACTAGGAGACCTTTAAGGTCCCTTTCACCTCTAAAACCTATCATCCTGCGAAACAGTTTTTAGAAAAATATCCTTGTTGCAGACCAAGCAAGAGAGATTCTTTAGCAAAGTGCCAGTAAAATATGTAGCAATCACATTTTGGCACAGGTGAAAGGAATTATTAAAGATTCTAGAAGAACAGGCTTACCTGGTTTAATTCGTCATATTGACTATAGGTTCCAATTTTAACTTTGATTATAAAATTGTAAGTAAATAAGAAGAAAATAAAAAATTTATTTTAAAAAATGCTTGTTAATTGATTTGTTGGTTGATTAGAAGTGTCCTGATACATTTAAGAATGAAAAAGCCATGTGAAATCTCATTTGTCTGCTTACAAAAAAAGGAAGAGTAATTGCTAGTTTAGATGAAAAATAATGGAAAATTATTTAAGTTTTAGCCATTGGAGATGGTTATTTGAATTTTCTGCCTGATGGCATGGAATAGTCTTTAGCATTTCTAGGGTCTTTCCTATTCAGAGACATAACTAGAACAGGGCAACTGAGATTTTGCTCCAGGGCACTAATTCAGAGAGTGCTGATAGCACCTTCTGCAACACTGAAACAAAAGCTATTATCGCCTGGTTAGCAAGGAATATTAGTTAAAATAGAAGGCTAACAAATGATAGGCTAGCTTGAACTTCTCCCAGCACTATTCCCACCCCTTCACTGAGTGTCATCATGTCAATGTTCCAGATCTTTATTTCCTTCGAAGGCCATGTTGTAGCCCCCAAGTCCCCCTTCCCATCCTAACTGAGGACGTGCCTCATAGCACTTGTCCAGAGCACAAAACTTCTAGTTGTGATATCCAATGGGCAAAGATGACAAGAAAGGAAAATAATAAATGTTGGAGGGTCTACGGGAAAACAGAAGTATTGAGGCATTGTTGGTGGACCTGTGAATTGATACAACCATTCTGAAAAGCAATTTGGAATTATACACAAAAAGTTACCAATCAGTGTGTAGTTGGGTCTTTTGACCCAACTAAGCCACTGCTAGGCCTATACCCAAAAGAGGAAAAGTTTCTATATCTACAAAAATATTAATAGCAGCTCTTTTTTGTGGAAGAAAAAAAATTGTAAACTAAAGAGATGTTCATCAACAGAAGGATGGCTGAGGAAGCTGTATGTGAATGGGACGGGATGCTACTGTGCTGTAAGAATGAAGAAATTGATTACTTTTTCAAAGAGACATTGAAAAGAATCATGTGAACTGGCACAGAATGAAGTAAGCAGGACCAGGAGAACAATTTATATTATAACATCAATACTGTAAAAGAGAATAATTTTGAAGACTTTTATAAACCAATGAAGAATAAAATGAGCAGGAGCAGAAGAAAAATTTATATAGCAACAACAATATCATAAAGACAACTTTGAAAGCTTTAAAAACTATGATCAATACAGTGACCATTCATGATTCTGAAGTTCTGAGGATGAAACATACTACCTACCTCCTGACAGAGAAGTAAGATATATATGGTGTAGAATCACACACACACACACACACACACACACACAGAGCCAATGAGAAAATTTGTTGTCCTTTGCTAAACATATTTGTTACAAGGAATTTTTCTTTCCTCTTTTTTCCCCCCAGTGAGGTAGGAAATCAGAAGGAGATAAAATAAATTTCTGTCAATTTTTTTTTTACATAGAGAAGTGAGGATGGGGCACTACAGATGAGGAATGTTTCATGCACTGTCAAATGAGGTCATTGTATTATAAATTTTACTTAATTATTTTACTTTATCAGAATGGAGGTAATCTGTAAATGTTTGTAATATAAAAACAAAACACATTGATAAAACTTTTTTTAAAAATAGAAATTTAATTATGTTCCTGATTGAGGGAAAATGTGAACATTTATGAATTTATCTCTTTCTCTTTTTCTCAGTATTTTCTATACAAGTTTCCTAAAGATGTGGACTCTGTTATCATTAAAGTGGTATCTGAAATGGTCTATCCATGCTCGGTTGTGTCAGTACAGGATATTGTGGTAAGTCCAAGTACCTTGTTAACCTATTTAGATATTGGTATAGATAGATAGACAGACAGATAGACAGACAGACAGATCAATAGATTTTATATATATATATGTATATATATATATATACACACACATATACATACACACACATATATGCATATACATATATACATGTACATATATGTGCATGTGAATATATACATATATACATGTATGTTTATATATCTACACACACATAGATATACTATAAACTTACTATGTATGTATGGATGTGGATGTGGATGTGATATATACTATAAATACTACTTCCAGAACAACCTGAAGAATAGGGAGGGAGCCCCTATATTCTATAAAGTAGAAGGATAGAGGAGAATGGAAATCATGACCTCTTATAATTTATTCTCTCTCCCAACTCTCAAGCACCTAATATAGTAACTTATACACAGTGGACTTTTCATGTTTTTAGTCATCAATATTAGGAACATAAAGAGGCTTTAAATTAAAAGGGGAGCAGAAAGAAAGGAGGAACAAAGGGCTATGTTCCAGGAGAAGCCAGGCCAAACTAGATGGAAGCTGAATGAGGGAAATCAATGGGTACATTTATGCTATTTTGAAAGTTTCACCAGGCTGCATTAAGCAATTTATGGAGTACACTGTGTTATACAGCATTACAGATTATATTTTTGCAGTTGTCTGTGATATAAAAAAAATTGACCTTAGGGACTTTACCTGTTATGTGTGCGAGAAATCTAAGAGGGCTGTTTAATTTTTTTTCTAGGGAAACAATATCCATAGGTCCACAATAAGAAATTCTTGTGCTTGTATAATATCTAGACCTTTATATATAGGTACCAAAACAACTTTGGCAATGTTTTATGTGGCCTTTTCTTTTTACCCCAAACCTTTCATAGTGCCCAGTGTATGATCTTGACCATAATGTGGAATTTAATGGTGTTTATCAGTCCATGACCAAGAAAGCAGCTATCACCATACAGGTGAGATATTTTCCCCTTGTAGTAGCTTTCCTTTTTCTATGACTATCAGACAAAATGGTTTATAATAAATTACCTGCAATACTCTGGCACCTCAGAGTGAAAACTATTCCCTATGTAACCAATAACTTCCTGCTTTCAAGATTAGTTTAAGGCGGATGGACTCTGAATGCAGATTGAAGCATACTATTTTCACTTAATTTTTTCCATTTTTTTCCCTTTGGGTCTGTTTCTTATTTCACAACTGTGACTGATATGGAAATGTGTTTTACATGATTGCACATATCTAACCTATGTCAAATTACCATTTTAGGAAGACGGGAGGGTAAGGAGAGAGGGAGAAAAATTTGGAACTGAGAATCTTGTAAAAATGAATGCTAAAATTATCTTTACATATAATGAGAAAAATAATAAAATACTATTTTAATAAAAAGATTTGTTTAAAGGCCAGTGTCTCTAAGCCCAGAGATCAGAGCAAAGATGTGAGGAAAGGGGACTCTAGAAATCTCTGAGTTAAGTAAAGAAAAGAAGACCACTGCCAGCCCTGCTCCCCTCCTGGCTTGGCATCCTGAGAACCTTTGTGCTGAGAGTGGAATGTGAAGGAACAAGTCAAGAGCAAAGGGTGTGGAAATCTATCTGCTAGATAAGTCTTCAGGTTCTTCCAGATGACTGGATTCTAATCTACTAGTTGAGGATTTCTACTTTAATGTGAGATTCAACTCATGAAACTTTAAGATAATTGGGCAGCATCAAGTAATGGATAGAGTTGGCCTTAATCCCAAGAAACCTGGGTTCAAGTCCTGTCTCTAATCCATACTGGCTTTGTGACCCTAGGCAAGTCTCTTAACTTCTCAGTGCTCAAGACAACTCCTTATGCGTCTCTATGAAAGTTATAGGGAAGATGCTGACCTGAATTGGGAAAGAGAGTTTCCTCCCCTTGGAATTCCCTAGACCCCCCCCCAAAAAAATCACAGGTCTAGTCCCTATCCCCCTAAAGGTATTCTAACACTTTGACTTACTGGCAGTAACCAAATTAGGACTGAGATTATTCTTTTATCATCATTTAGCATTTGTTTGATACCAATAGTGTGCATAGATTTTGCACAGGATATGCGAAGTTGGACTCCAGTCTTAAACAGAGTTTAATTTACTTCTTTGCATCTGCTTTATCTAAAAAGTGCTAGAAACACAGAAATACTTGAGCTGGCTTTGGTCTACTGGAGAAGAGGTGCTATTTCTTGAATAGCAGTGGAAGAGTAGGGAAAGGTTAATTATTGATTAGGCAGCAGGCTCTATCTCTTCCTTTTCTCCTTCTTTCATTTTTCAAAACCTCAGATCAAATACCCAAAACCTCCACTCTTATCTCTGTTGATTGTTTATTTTTTGTTGAATGTCCCCACAATTACACTGATGATCCCAAATGGGGAATGACAGAAATTTTTTAAAATGAAAACAGTAGAACACTTTTTTTTAATAGTATTTATGATACCAAACAATGAAGATACTACAAAATATACCAATGCATCCCCTTTAGGAGTACAACCTCCAGTCTTGAGTCCCTTTCTCTAGAGCTAATGGTATATCCATGTTGTGATATTTTGAGTCAGTAGACTAAATGTTAGGCTCAAAACAAGATAATAAAAGAATTTCAGAATTGGAATGGGCTTGAAAAAGCAGTTTGCCCAAGCTCCTATTTTATAGATTAGGAAACTGAGGCCCAAAGATGAAATTGATGGGGTGATGGGACCTGGACCCTGAGTTTTCCCATACATTTTAGTAACCCAGTCCCTGGCATCTAGCCTAAGGCATCAGGCCCATCCCAGCCTACCTAAATACTCAATAACCCTTTCAATAGTCCTTTCACTGTGGCTTTCTGACCCAGCTCAGGCCACTCTTTTCACTGTTTGCATCTGGGCCCCCCAGGCTATTTACCACTCCTTAATCCCATCCAAATCTTCTCACAGACTTTTTTGTATATAAGCATCAGTTCCATCCTCATCAAATTCACAGATTTACTAGGAATCTTGCCAGTATACTGGTATTATAATAAAACTTCAACATTTTGACTGAAAGAAGGCTTGAGTGGTGGAATTCTTTCAAGGCAGACTTGCCCTGTACCCTTACATTTTGGGATTCCCAACACCCCAAACTGCAACAGGATGTCACACAGTAACAGAGCCAAGCCTCAAACTCACAACACCTGACTCTCAGTCCAGTATTGCTTCTATTTCACCACAATGGCAGAGGGTAGATGATAATCTATGGAGGAACTAAGTGGCGCAGTAGATAGAGCAACGGGCTTGGAATCGTATCTTCCTGAGTTAAAATCTGACCTTGGATACCTACTAGCTGTGTGACCCTGGGCAAGTCACTTAACCCTGTTTGCCTCTGTTTCCTCATCTGTAAAATAAACTGGAGAAGGAAATGGCAAACCACTCCAGTATCTTTGCCAAGAAAACTCCAAATGGGGTCATTAAGAGTCAGACTTGACTGAACAATAATAACAACAGAGGATAATCTGGAAGTATTTGTAAAAACAAGACACATGAATAAAATTTGAAAAAAAGCTCATTCTTAGTGATCACTCACTATGTGTTCTTAAGTTACTTAGTTTCAGTTTTTAAATAATAAAAAACATTTCACAAGGGTTAGCTAATAACCCTTTCCAAAACATTACATTTTGCCCATTGATGCATTAGTTTATATAATTCCTATTATGGTATCTAGGAACAAGACAGAAGTCATGAGAATATATGTATCTTTTTACCCTCCAAAACATGAAATAATAACTATATCAAGATTTTGTATGGTTGTGTGAATATAATTAATTATGAAGGGATTTAGGGTTGGGGGTGGGCTTTACTTTCCTCTTTCTTTCTTTATTTCTCCCACCTTCCCCTGCTTCCCCTTTTCTCTCTTTCTCTTTCTTCTCTACCTACCATAAGGTTGTTATGTCTTGTACAGAAGAAGGATTTTCCAGGAGAGCAGTTCTTTGTGGTGTTTGTGATAAAGCCTGAAGATTATGCTTGTGGAGGATCATTCTTCATCCCAGGTAAGACATGGTGACAGACACTCAGCCTACAAGAGGACCAATGAGGGAGGCAAACTAGCCTGTGGTGACTATCTCTAGCTCTCTCTAAATGAGATCTCACCAGAAGGGAAGAATCAGGAGAGACAATGACTATTCCCTAGCAAGACAGTCTCAGAGACAAGGCAATGCAAAGCAAAGAGAGAAAATGATAGATTGCAAATATATTCCTATATAAGAGTCTTTAGTATAATGCACCTTTGCAGATCCTTACACTTGTATATCAAGGAACAGAGCTTTTATATGGTAAATCAAGAGACCAGGATTTTTTCCCTTCATAGGTGGTAGAAAACAGAACACTGAACATTTATCATTATACATTTCAGTCTTGGGTAGAGAAGGAAAATTCAGTTTTAAATTCTTATTGCTAAAGATATGCCTTCACAGACAGTAAGAAATCAACAGTGTCTATCACAGTATAGTAATTCACCCTGAATGATAACAGGTGTATGAAATATTGAGCCTGGTTTAAAAAAAAAAAGTGTGGGTCCCAAGAACTGCCTTGAGAAACTATTAGGTTTGTTTTTGAACACAGATAACTCTTGAGCTGATGAGTGGATATCTGACAACAGAATGCTGAAGGGTATTTACCATAACCGTGATGTGGTTCCCTGGGTATTTAAATGAAGATTCTGCTCATGTTATCCAATATACATTTTCATGACCTTATAAAAGTAGAAAGTTTTACTGACTGTAAAAATTACAAACCAAAGGTAGCTTTCTAAATTCCACTTTGCCAGCAAATCTCACGAAAGTTATGTGGCCTATTGATCCTTCCACAATGTCCCCAAAAGGTAGAACCACTGATTTGGAGATAGAAGGGCTGCTGGTGGTCATTTGGTCCAACAACCTTCCCAAGGTCACAAAGGTAGTAAATGACTGAGACAAGATTTAAACTCACTGTCCCCTGAGTCCAAAACCTACATCCCTGCTAGTGTATCTTGTTTGGTCCTGTTTGGGGCCGGGGGTGGGAGGGGGAGAGGATTGAGGTGACTAAAGGAGATTTAGAGATGAATCAGAAGGGACAGTCAATGGTGAAAGTAATCCACCCTGAGACAATAAGGTGGGACAGTGGATAGCAGCACTGGATTTGTAGTCCAGAAGACCTAAGGTTGAAATCCCACTTCAGACATGTACTAGATGTGTAACCTAATCAAATCACTTAACCTCTCTCAGCCTCCACTTCTTCATCTGTAAAATGGGTATCATAATAGCATTTACCTCACAGGATTGTTGTGAGAATCAAATGAGATAACATGTAAAGTACTTAGAAAAACCTTAAAGTGCTATGTAAATGCTAGTTATTGTTATTGTTGTTTAATATGTTTAAGGGAAGTCCACATGGCTTCATTGGAGACACCCAAGGGGACAACAAGCAAAGTTTACTAGAGAAGCCCACCAGCCCCCCCTCAAAACGAAGCCATGACTGACACCTTTAAAGCTGGACTAGGGGGGCAGCTATGCGGCACAGTGGCCAGAGCACTGCCCTGGAGTCAGGAGGACCTGAGTTCAAATCCCACCTCAGACACTTACTAGCTGTGTGACCCTGGACAAGTCACTTAACCCCAATTGGCTCACCAAAAAGGAAAAAAAAAGAGCTAGACTAGGAGAGGTCAGGACAACAACTAAGGATATTGCCTGGGAGTTTTGAGCATGATGACCTTCAGGCTACAGTAATATGAGAGAGGCCATGATGGTCTTTCTGGAGGCTGCTCCTAAGACCTAGCAGCAGTTCAGGAAGCTCTTAGGTCAGGGCCACTCCAGGAATTTTATAAGGAGAGGAGGGCTTCTGACACAATGGTTTCTCTCTGCTGAGCTTACAGACAGGGAGACATCAATCAGCTAGGAATCTGGAACTTTCCACTCTAAAATAAAAGATTCTAGAAATGGGAAGGTGGGGGGATGATGGCCCCAGAAAAGGAGTGGGACAGAAAGGAGATAATACAAGGTAGGAAGATGAGGTAGGAAGAAGACATAGCTTGTTGGAGTGAGAAATATTAGAAAAACACATTGAAAAATCAGTGTTCTTCCAGACTATAGCAGGACTATCAATCCTACTTTATTGGAAGGACAGATTGAGGTACACATTGGCATATATTAGAAGTCAGCACTGCTAAATGTCAATCTCAGTGAAAAAAAATGAGGGTTTTAACAGAAAGGTCTAGGAGATAGCTCAAATTCCATGAGGAAAAGACCGTCAAATATTCTTTGGTGTTTAAACTGTGAAGTTTGAAGGGGGAGTTTTCATTAGGTTCTTAGCATAGCACTGGGTTCTTAAAAATAATGTGTTTGTCTACCTCACATCAAGCCAACTTGTTGTTGAATCTTTCTGTTACTACATCTACAATATGTCTCATACTCAGCCCTCTCTCTACTCCCAGGGCTACCACCTCAGTTCAGGCCCTCACCACCTTATTGTAACAATCACTCATTGGTCCCCTTGCCATCTGGTCTCACCTCATTCAAATCCATCTTCCACATACCTCCCAAAGGAATTTTTCTTAGATTTGATCATGTCATTCCCCAGCCCAGTCAAGAGACTCTGATGGTTCCCTGTTGCTCTTAGGATCAGATATAAACTCCTTTGTTTAGCTTTTAAACCTCTTCATAACTGTACCTCAGTCTATCTTTCCAGCCTTATTGGGCATTACTCCGCACCCTAGATTGTATATCTAACCCAAGTGGCCTTCTTTCGGTTCCTCACACGTGATATTCTGTCTCTTGTCTCCCTGCCCTTGAAAGTATGAGCTGCCCTCCTGCAAGGAAGGTACACACACCTTCCTCACCCAAACCTTGAAGAATTTTTCTCTTCCGTTGAGACAAAGCTCTGACACTACTCTCTATGGGAAGCCTTTCCGAGCCCCAACAATTTCTGGTGCTCTCTCTCAAACTACCTCCTTTTTGGTAACTTTGTATTTATTTCTGGTTATTCTGTATATGCATTATACACATCCGTGTCATCTCTGCATCAGAATGTAAGTTCTTTATTTTGTTCACTAAATTAAATCTGTATCCCCAGCACCCAGCACAGTGCTTGGCACAGAGCAGCCATTTAATAAGTCCTTGTTGATTGATAGATTGAGAAATCAAACCAATAGAGACTATTCCTTTGAGCAGCCATTAATGCAAGAAACCAGAAGTCAAGAGTTTCCCGATTGGTTTTGTCTGTAATTCTCTTTCCAGGAAAGGAAAACCACACCTGGAACCTTCAGAGAACAAAGAACCTTAAAGTGACCGTTGTTCCCGCCATTAAAGGTCAGTTCTGCCTCTGGGGAATGGCACAGAATTCCTGCCTGAGGGAACACAGTAGCAATTTCAGTTCCACCTTTTCCTTTTCTCAGCCCATTCCCCAGTAAAGATAAAAAGAATGGCGGGTTTTTGTTTTTTTGCTTTTTTTTGGGGGGGGGGTTGGTTTTGCAATTCAAGTTAGTTCAATATGAGATTGATTAAGCACATGCTGATAGCTGAGCACTAAGTTGCATCATACTGTTTCTTCCAAAGGAAAGGAGCAAAAATTGTGGAGTTGTTTATGGAGATTCCAGACCCAGTTTCCTACAGAAAGTGGGCATTACTGGTGAAGGTGAAGACAGTGACCATTGGTTATGATGTCTGTGTATGAGCTCAAGGAACTCTGTGTCTCCTAACAGAAATCTCTGTTGGGCTTTTGAATAGAAATAATGGAAGTTAGGGACCAGCAGCTACCCCAACCCCAGACATAATGGATAATAGTCCTTAAAGTGTTAAAGCTTTCTGATTAGAAAGCATTTCCCATTCCCCTCTCCTTCCCCAACCTGACTGTGTCTCTTTCTCCTTCAGAATCTGTTTATGTGAAAGCCATATTACTCAGCTTCCTTATATTCTTCTCCTTCTACTTGGGGTCTCTGCTTGTTGCTTTCGTGCACTATGTCAGGTAAGTACAGAACTTCTGTGAAAGTCACGCCTCTGTCCCTTTCTCTGCTGAAACTTATAGTGTCATTTATGGAACTTCAAATTCAATCTGTGAATGGACTGGAAATGATTCTCTCTGAAGGGACGGAAAGTCATCCACTTGGGACCTTGCTTTTTTTCAAGTCCCTAGAATTGTCGCCATAAGTCAGATAGAATACAGAAATTCTGAAATTCTTCCCAGCATAACAAATTCAAATAAGTTCCACTCTGATACGTCATCGTGCATGGAGGTGATCCCAGGTTCTCCAAAATCATGCCAGCAGAGCACAACCACTGATGAGGTCTTCCGTGCTGCAAAGGTTTCAAGTATAGTCACTCCAGGAGACTGCCTCTACTCACCAAAGACCAAGCCAGTTAAAGATGGAGAGGTTCATCACCTCTAGACTGGCTGCTTGGCACTAAATTTTTTGGCCATGACAACCCACAAAGCTGACAAAACTGTTAGCATAATTGTTAATAGAATGACAGAAATTGATGCCAAATGTAATATGGACTGCCACTCCCTTAAATGTTCCCTGTAATGTCAGAATTTCAGTAAGTTCCTTGCATTCCTACGCTTAAGATATTTACTCTTGCTTGGGCTGAACTGAACCACACCCTAAGTCCCCCACCCCCACCCAGGGAGCTTGCCTTGTGGGGAGCCAGCTCAATCTGGATCTCAGCTTCCAGTGTCCTTACCTCCTTCCAGTGGGATTCATGGCATGAAAGGCAAAACAGCCAGAATAAAGTGATTTTCCTTGCCCAGATTGCCAAGGGTCACTGGGGTCTCAAGATCAGGCCTTGCAACCACATACTGTCTCTTCCCCCTCTCCTAAAACTATAAAAACTTTTTCCTGGGACTCTTTGGTTGGGAAGTCCACGGGACATCCCCCAGGGTAGCAGGTTTGCTACCTTGTACTCTCTATTAAAGACGTTTTATTCCTTAGCTCATGGCTTTTATTTATTTCAGTATTTGACAAAGCAAAGAAAAATAGAGTGCCTCTCAGTCTTGTGGGGCCCTCTTTCACTCATGCAGTGACTGTAGCAAAGGGAATAGAGAGTATAAAAAAAACCAACAGTTTTTGGATTGTAAACATTAGCTCAATTGTTGATACTTCAAATATGGAATAACCAATGAGGGACTATACTGAAGAGGAAACTGAATCTTGTCATTTTTTAAAGATTTGATTTGATTTGATTTTTTTTAACCTGGTTAATTTATTCCCACTTCCTTCTTCCCTTGCCTCCCTTTCCCCCTCTGTTCTCCTACTTTACAGCTACTTGGAAAAATTATTATAGACAGATATCATTTTGTGGCTGGTTGACTATGGGTCTGAGTATTTTTAAAGGGTAACTATATTTCCATTTCACCACTACTTTATCCTCTTCTCTTCTTTTCACACTACTCTGGTTTCCCTCTAACCAGTCAACCAGCATTTATTAAGAATCCTGTCATTCTTGACCTTCTTGTGAAACCAAAATACAGAAGGAAGTTATTGTGAAATTGAAATATTATTTACAGGTTCTCCCTGGAGAGGCAAATAAAGGAATTGGCAGAGTTGATTTGATCATGAACCCAAAAGCAAGAGTAAACATCATTGCATGGGACTCTTGGTCAGTTCAGATCACAGTGCTCATACGCACAAAAATTATACGCACACACATATACACATACACATATACATACATATGCATACATATACACACATATACAGTACACATACACATATATGTGTGTGCATGTGTGCATATATGTGTATGTATACATATGCATGTGTGTATGTATATGTATATATGTATCTCAAAAAGAACGCCATGAAAATAACTACAGCTTATTCACCAACAGTTGTTGCAGAGGATGAGAAAGTAGAATAATTCTTCAAACACTATAGGATTATAGATTTAGAAGTGACCTTAGAGGCCATTAAGTTTAACCCCATCATTTTACAGATGAAGAAACTGAGAATACATTGGATGAGTGAATTGCTTAGGCTTACGCAGCTAGTGTTCAAGGTAGAATCTGAACCTGGGTCTTCTTGATTCCAAGTCTAGTACCCTAATCACTACACTCTATCAATAAAGCCCACAGTAAGACCCTCCAAATTAAATTACCACATACTTTAATACTTGCCAGATTCTGAAAGAAAATAAAAATTAAACAACAACCAAACCCGGCAGCTTTAATGCAAAGGTGGGCATAGTGGAAGTTGACCAAAAAAAATGTTGGAAAACGTGACTCAGGAGTAAGAAATAAGAGATGCAAAAGACATGGAGACATTACAGAAGCTTCATGCTAATTTATCATGAATACTCTCTTCAAGAAGAAAACTAAGCAGTGTTAGACATGGCAAGTACCACATAAAATAAAATTAATTATATTTTAATGGGCAGGAAATAACTGGTTACTCTCATGGAGTCACTTCTGCTTTAGCTCTCAGCTATACCTGTATCATCAAGACCACCATCTTGTTAGAGCCAAGGTGAAAATAAATACCAAGGTAGAAGAAAGAAGAGAAATGAAAAGACATAGGATGCAATTGAGGCAACACTAACCAAAAAGATAAAAGAGCGTTTGTCAACACAGCCTGTTACTATTTCCTAAGGAAGCACAACTAGCATGCATGAAAGACCACAATGAGTAGAAAAAAAAAGCCCAGGCTACTCTTCATCTCTGTGATCTTGATCAAACTCTTAAATCTCCTTGCTGAGAGATATGGCACCAAAGAGCACCATCCATTTTGAGTTCTGAACCTTTTTTTTTTAAATTATGGACAACTTTGGCCTTCTGGTAAGGCCTGTTGACCCCTTTTCAGAGTAACATTTTCAAATGCATAAAATAAAATATATAGGGCTACAAAGGAAACCAATTTTACTAAAATACATTTGTCAAAATATTTTTTAACAAACAAGTCCATGAACCACAGGTTAAGAACCTCTTAATTAGACCATAAATTTGTACATAAATCTTAAAGAGAATGGTAGAAGAGAATAAGCAGTAGCAATGCGCACGCGCGCGCGCACACACGTACAAAACAATAGTGGACAAAACAAGTTTACATAAAGTATGTTTAGAGACCCAATTAAACCAGTTTATCCCAATATGATTTAAGGATAAAATTACCGAATGCTGAAAAATAGAAGAGATCTATAAAGATTTCTCTAATAAGCCATTTAATCCACCAATGACAGCGGAACTACCACATTTGGATTGTTATTAATATTTCTCATGCATATGTGTACATAGAATTACTCTAGCATCAATATAATTTTGAGGGTATTGAGGGGTTGATTCTAAAGACATTTGAAACAGTAGAATATCAAACACTTAGAAAAGATCACAAAATTTATTATCAGCAAAAAAAAAAAGTTGATCAAGAATACATCAACAACTGTGACTCACATATACCTTCTCTCATCTCTAAGATCCTTAAGAAATTAATCTGCACATATATCAAAAGCATCCTTAATAATGACAGAAGAATGAAATGGGCAGGCTTTTGCAAAAGATGTTCTATAGCAGATCACATCTGACAGTCACAGAATTGACCGAAAGGAATAGGAAAATAAGCTCAATTGTGTGTATTGTTTGTGACTATTAAAAAGCATTTGATTCAGCAGAAGAAAAATAGGAGGATTCAGGAGGACCTGAGTTCAAATCCGGCCTCAGACACATAATAACACTTACTAGCTGTGTGACCCTGGGCAAGTCACTTAACCCCATTGCCTAGCAGAAGAAGAAGAAGAAGAAGAAGAAGAAGAAGAAGAAAAATAGTGTCTTAAAGGTTTTCCTATGATGATGTTTCCTAGGCACCTATCAAAATCATATAAGATCCTTTGGAAGGTGTGGTTGCTCTGATAATAATAATCATAATAATAAGCATTTATATAGCATTTACTACGTGTCTAGCATTGTGTTAAGCACTTTACAATTATTATCTTTAGTTGATCTTCACAATAACCCTGGAAGGTAGATGCTACTATTGTCCCAGTTTTACAGATGAGGAAACTGAGGCAAATAGGACTTAAATGACTTGCCCAGAGTCAGGATTTTGAACTCAGATCTTCCTGATTCCTGACCTGGCATTCTATCCACTATGCCCCCTATAGATAACTCTAATAAAGATTTTATGTGTGTGTGTTTGTGTGTGTATACAAAATCACATGCTGAATCAAATGCTTATGTGTGTGTGTGTGTATGTGTGTGTGTGTGTATCTCAAATACAGAAAGAGAGAGAGGAGTGCAGGCACATAGGTTGGTAGTTGAGGTTTTCTTGGTCACTTTTTTTGAAATCGTTAAAGTCTAAGACTTTTTTCCAAGCCTTTGGTATATTCCCCCTCCTTTAGATACCTTGTAAATGTATCCCCCAAGCTTGGTTCTCCTTTCTCTGTCTTTCTGTCTTTGTCTCTGTCTTTCTCATGCGTATGTGTACATAGAATTGCTCTACCATCAATGTAATTTTGAGGGTCTCAATATAGAAATATGTGTATACACACACATATATATCTATACATATACATACACACACACACACACACACACACACACATACACATTTTCTTACCTTTGTTCTTCTTAGTGACATTTCTGTGTTCTCTGTTAGCTCCTCAAGAACTGTGATATTAGGACCCAAGTATGGTGATTCCACTATTCTTGATGGAGAAGACAATGATTTTTGCAAACCTTTTCCATTTTTCTTCCATTTATGGCCTTCCTTCTGTTTCATCTAGAATACCCTTGGGATGACTTTGCTTAGTCATATATTTTGCCAGGTTTTTTTTAAAACTGGTTCTGCCCTCCACTACTCATCTCTGCTTTTTGAGAAGATTCTGCTCGTAATCATCCATTATCCTTCTTCATAAGATTTTATAAATGAGTTTATATTCCTACTTCTTTTTGCCCTTGACAGCCATCTTTTTCTGGCAAGTTAAGTCAAATGTTTGCTGACTAAGGTGATTTCTGGGCTCTTTTGGTCTCCTTGTTGC